GGCTGGGCAGAGGGATAAGACCCTGAGGGCAGGGCGGGAGCAGGGGGCTGCTCGGCCGTGAGTTCAGTCCTGAGTCGGTGCCGCTGGTTGTCTGTTCACCTGTAGGCCTCGAAGGCAGCCCAGGGTAGGGCCACCCGCCTGGCTCTGACTCATGTCTCAGCCCCCTGAGAGCCTCCCAGCTTCCACCCGCTTCCCCCCTGAGATCCTCCCAGCTCTCCCCGACCTGCCCCACCCGGCCTGGCCGCCACTAATGCTGCAGATAATTCCTGCTGTCGCAAAGCCATTACTCTGCAAATGGGCCGGGCTTCAGCCTGTGTGCGTGTGTGGGTGTGCGTGTGTGTGTGTGTGTGTGTGTGTGTGTGCGTGTGTGTACATGTGGGAGAGGGGGCTGCAGCAGGCAAAGAGCCTTGTTTATCCTGCTTGCTGGCTGCCATATTGCCTCAGGGGGATTTATTGGCTTTGTGTGCTCACCCCCACCCTCCCTGGCCGCCACCTCCGGTCCTCTGCTGGACCCTGGGGGATACGGCCTGCAGCTGTGGGCAGGGAGCTGGACATGCCCAGAGGAGGGTGGGTGAGGCCTTGGGTCCCTCCCTGCCACTCCGCACCTGGTGGCAGCTGGCCTCAGGACAGGGAAGGGACTGGGGCAGCCCCCCACCCAGCCTCCTGGACCTCAGCAGGCCCTGGGGAGTAGAGCAAATCTGGGGTGCCAAATGGACGCAAGGAGGACCTGGAGGGATATTGGTGCATCCATGGCCCCCGGTTTCGCCTCTTCCCCTTCGCCCCTGTCCTCCAGGCCCCTGGTCTCCTGCCATTTGCTTTGTCTACCAACGGCGGACCCCCACCACAGAGGTCATACAGCTGCCCCGCCGCCCTACTCCTGTTCTGCACAGCCGGGTCTCCCACAAGAGGGGGCAAGGCCCTGACCCTCCCATTTCCAGAACTGTCGACCTTTGTGTGGATACCTTTGCAACCCCCACAGATTCAGCACAGTCAGGAAGTACCTGTGGACAGAGGAGGCTAGGCTGGGCGGTGGTCAAGGACTCACCCTTATAGCACCAGGCTCATCCTGTTCCATCTCTGCACCCCAGTTTCTAGCTGTGTGGTCTCGGCCAGCCACATCATTCAATATCGGTGAGCCTCAGCAGCCTCATCTGTAAAATGGGTCGGCTAGCACTTGCCTCAATCAGTTAGTGTGAAGGTTTGATACATTCTAATACACTGCACCACAGGAAATTGCCAACTTCCACCATTTTTTTTCTGTTTCCAGACTTTTTAGATACCTTGCATTTATCTTTTTTTTTTAATTTCACTGTACTTTAAGTGAAAGTTTACAATTAAAGTTAGTCTCTCATACAAAAATTTATACATACATTGTTATGTGACCCTAATTGCTCTCCCTGTTATATAACAGCACACTCCTCCTTTCCACCCCTGATTTCCCGTGTCCATTCAACCAGCTCCTAACCCGCTTTGCCTTCTCATCTCACCTCCAGACAGGAGCTGCCCATTTAATCTCATGTATCTACTTGAGCTAAGAAGCACACTCTTTGCGAGTATTATTTTATGTCCTACAGTCCAGTCTAATCTTTGAAGAGTTGGCCTCGGGAATGGTTTCAGTTCTGGGCTAACGGAGAGTCCAGGGGCCATGTCTTCCGGAGTCCCTCCAGTCTCAGTCAGACCACTAAGTCTGGTCTTTTTGCTAGAATTTGAGTTCTGCACCCCACTGATCTCCTGCTCCATCAGGGACTCTCTGTTTTGTTCCCTGTCAGAGCAACTTCCACCATTTTTTGACACTTAGTAAATATCTGTTGGGTAAAATATTGCATGAAGAAACTATCGTTGATAGGATTTCTCCTTGACGCCCTACACTTTGATACTACCGATGCTTCGTATTTGTATAGATGTTGCCTGCTGATTTTAAAGAATTCAAGCAATGCACGAAAGCACAAAGAAGAATAAAAATAAATCTCACACTCAGGAATAGCCATCATTAACAAATAACCGCCATTTCTAGAAGCCTCTTCCTGCATTGATACAGATAGAAGTTTAGGAAGATAGATCAATTGAAATATTGCTATTAAAAGGGATCATACTGGATTTTTTAAACATAATTTCTTAAATCTAATTTTAGTTTATTTTAACAAAAGGAAACAAGTAGAAGTAACACCAAAGACAGCTGCAATGTTCCAGCCAATGTCCCTTCATCACAGAGGCAGTATTTTCTAAAAAGATCATCTAATGTTAACAAACAGATCTGAAAGCAATCAGACCGGGAAATACCGATCAGGGAGAGAATCTATTATATAGGAGGAGGGAAAATGTGAATACTAGAGTAGAAATTGAAGGAGTTTGTCTTAGCTTCCTAGTACTGCCGTAATAAAAATACCACAAGTATTTAAAGAGCAGAAATTTATTGTCTCACAGTTTGGGAGGCTAGAAGTCCAAATCAGGGCATTGGCTCTGGGGGAGGGTCCTTCCTTGTCAGTAGCCCCGGGCGTTCCTTGGCGTTCCTTGGCTTGTAGATGGGTCTCTTCCCTCTGTGTGTGTATATGTCTGTTCTGTTCTTTTTATAAGACACCGCTCAGAAGGGATTAGGTTTAGGGCCCACCCTACTCTGTTAAGGTCTCATTAACAAAAGAAAACCCCTCTTTTCAAACATGGTTATATTTACTGGTACAGGGGTTAGGACTTCAACATGAATTTTTGGGGAACACAATTCAATCCATAACAGAGTTAAATTAGCAAATTTCAAAGATTTGCCAGGCCTTTCTTCCAAGGAAACTCTGGGTGGACTTGAACCTCCAACCTTTTGGTTAGCAGCCAAGCATGCTAACCATTTACACTACCCAGGGACTCCATATGCCCTGCTAGATGGATATTCTGATATATACAACGATTTCCTTCTAAAAGTCACCGACAACAATCCATACTCAGTATTTTCACTCCTGAATCACAGGTACTGTCTTTACAAAAGGTGGTCGTGATTGGGGGAGGGGGGTGTTGGTAAATGTTTAACAACTGCTGTCCAGGGGCAAAGAGCTCTGATTTGTAGCATTTGCTGATTTTCATAGTATAAGCACTCCCACCAAGGCTGATTTCAGGAGCCCTGGTGGCACAGTGGTTAAGAGCTCGGCTACTAACCAAAAAGTTGGCAGTTTGAATCCCCTAGCTGCTCCTTGGAAACCCTATGGGGTATTCCACTCTGTCCTATAAGGTCGCTATGAGTTGGAATCGACTTGACGGCAATGGGTTTTTTGGTTTGGCTGATTTCAAGCTACCAACGTGATGTAGTTGAGTGCAGACTTGGGAACGACGCCTAGGACAGGCTTTCAGGAGTGAGTATGAGCTGGCTGAGAACATCACGGGGTGGGTGGCAACTTCTGATGGAATTCTAGGGGGTGAGAACCCCTTGTTGTCAGTGGCCAGAGAGATGGGGAAAACCAAAAGGTGGGGTACCTCAGAGATCAATGGAAGAGAGAGTTTCAGGAAGGAAAAAGAGGTCCCACACTGGGTCTCTGCCCAGTGGCATAGAAAAAAGAGGTTGGAGAAATTGCTGAATTTGGCGGTGCAGTGGTTAAGCGCTTGGCTGCTAATCAAAAGGTCGGTGGTTTGAACCCACCCATGGAAGAAAGATGTGGCAGTCTGCTTCTGTAAAAACTACAGCTGTGGGAACCCTATGGGGCAGCTCTACTCTGTCCTGTCGGGTCACTGTGAGTCAGAATCGACCCAAGGGCAACAGGTTTCAGTTTTTGGTTCCTGTACCCTACCCATCACCCCCACCGTGGGGGCCCAGCCCAGGACTCTCTGCAGGCCTGGGGCTCTGTTTTATAAAGGGGCAGATTCCCATTAGAGGACGGTAGACCAGCCATTTGGGAGCGAGGGGCTGGAGGAAAAAGGACAAATGTTCCCAAAGAGACATAACAGAACCCACTCTGGAAAAGGACCAGGCTGCCAGAAGGGCCCTGGGATCACCACATGAACCGGGCTCAGGGCATTCTGCGGGGCCGAAGGACACCACCTCTCTGCCCCAGGTGGTGATGCTGCCCCAGGACAGTGGCCCATTGGGGCCCTTCCCATGAGACTCCAGAAGATTCCCTCCTGCTAGACCCACAGGTCACAGCAAATGCGAACAATACCGGACAGGCGGAAGTAGGCCCTGGGCAGGGGCAGGGGGTCTGGGAGAGCATCAAGAGCTGCTGGGGCCTGTCCCTCACAAACTGGGCCACTGTGGGCCTTTCATCTCCCGCCTTCCTCTGGGGCCACTGCAGCGTCCCTGGCTCTGCTTCTTCCCACCCCACCGCCCCCACTGCAGCAATTACGGCGCTAATTAGGGTGCTTTGATCATCTTTAGAAATGGCCACAGTGATGAAGGACGCAGCCAAGCAATTAGGGGCAGAGGGGCTGGGAGCTGGGGGCCCCTTAAGGGGTGGGGCTGCGAGGACCCCCAGATGTCCCCTGCCTCCTCCCTCCAGGAGTGTCTGCCCCCAGCATCCCTGTAACGTGCAGATGGGGATCCCCTCCCCCATGCAGCCTGGGAGAAGGGGGCAGCCGGTCCCCAGAAGCCGCCCCCCGCCGGCCCCCCGCCTGGCCCCCAGCCCAACCGTCAGCTCTTCCTCTCTGTCTAAGCCCCTTTGATGGAGCCGCAGAAACAAGGGCCCCTTTGACAGAAGGGGCTCGGAGCCGGATGAGGAGACTTCAAAGGTGAGAGTTGAGTTCACTCTCCCGTCCCCTCCCTCCTCCCTGGCCCCCTTCCCATGCACCCCCCAGTCTGTCCTCTATATAGCCCCCGCAGCCTCATGCCCCTGTTGGCTCCCAGGAGTTAAGGGCCAGGTGAGGGATGGACCAAGGGAGGAGCGTGATTTGATGTAAGAGAGCAGGTCAGATGATTTGAGGGACAGCAAGACAGTGCCCAGGGGCAGAAAGGCAGTGGGAGGCAGGCCCCAAAGGACAAGCGCCTGGAGGGTGGACCCCAAGGGGGAAAGAGGACAGTCCCGGTCACCATGCTGCTGGCTGTTCTGCTGCTGTTGCTGCCCCTCCCAGACCCATGGTCTGCCCGTGGGCACCCTCTGTACATGCGCCTGCCCCCCAGCACACTGCAAGGTGAGCCGGGCTGGTCTGGGGGAGCGGCTGGGGAGGCAGAGGAGAGGGGTCCCAGACAGGGAAAGGTGAGCTTGCCGTCTCTACTCGCAGGACCTTCGGCCCCTTCTGCCCACCCTGCTAGGAACTGAGACACAGGTAGAAGGGGGAGAGGGAGGAAGAGGGTGGAAAGATCAGGGAGCTGGCAAGCACTGCCAAAGGGCACTTAGAGAAGCTTCCAGGCTTAGCAGGGAGGCCCAGCCCAGCATGGGCTGTCTGGACTCAAAGGCATGCAACTTGACCACGGTTACCTGAGGTTAACAAGCCTGAGTTCTGTGATATCTTTATCTTTGGGACTGTGTTTTCCTGTAAAGTTTTTAAGGAAAGGTGCTTTTCAAAGATCCCAGCCCAGCCCAGCTGAATTACAGAGGTATCTTTGGTTGAGAATCTGGAAGCATCTCCCTCCCCTACCCCCCAAGTGCTCCGGGAGCCCAGCCTGCCTTCCCGCGGGTCTCCCAAAGCAGGGCTCAGGGCTGGGGCAAGGAGATAAGCCAGCCCTTCCCCAACTCTCCCTGATTTTGTGTCCTATGTCCCAACAGTAAGGTCCCTGGGTAGCACAAACGATTTATGCTCGACTACTAAGCTAACCAAAACCAATAAAACGAAACCTATTGCCACTGAGTCGATTCCGACTCATAGCAACCCTATAGGACAGAGTAGAACTGCCCCATAGGTTTTCCAAGGAGTGCCTGGTAGATGGGAACTGCCAACCTTTTGGTTAGCAGCAGTAGCTCTTAACCACTTCGCCACCAGGGTTTCCACTAACCTAAAGGTTGGTGGTTTGAACCCAGTGGTGCCATGGAAGAAAGGCCTGGCTGGTGATCTGCTTTGGTAAATATTACAGCCAAGAAAATCCCATGGAGCAATTCTACTCTGTAACACTGGGTCTTCATGAGTCGGAATTGACTACAAGGCAACAGGTTTTTGGTTTGGTCCCAACAGTTCTGTCGGCCCAAGGGACCCAGGCTTTGCAGGCTGCACAGAGGAGTGCCCGGTGGGCGGTGCAGCGGGTGGCTATGGAGATCCAGCACAGACTGCATGAGTGCCAAGCTTGTGCCAACCATACCACCCCATGCCCCAGTAAGCTTCACTGACTGCCCTGGGCTCTTGTCCTGCCCATCCCCATCCTCTCCTTCTGACCCTACTCCCCGCCTGGGGGCAGAGACTGCGTAAGGCTGCAACCAAGTCAGTGCACGAAGAGCTGCCCCAGTGGAAAGGGCCTTTCAGGCTGGACAGCGAGTGCAAAGGCCCGGCGGCAGGGCAGTCTGGGCTCATTTGGTGATGTTCCTGTGATGTGAGAAGCTTATCGCTGCTGGAGTAGAACCTGCCTGCTGGCGGGTGGAGGGGGGGTGCCAGAGGGAGAGGTAGGGGAAGGGACTCAGGCCGGGGGTGGAGACAGGGGCGGGAGGGCGGCAGTGAAGCCGCAAATCTGTTTCTCAGCAGGACCTCGGGGTCCCAGGCCTCAAGTTCCCCTACTCCAGGACCCACCTGAGTCAGGTGAGACTGAAAGGGCTTGGGAGGGCCGGGTTGAGGGCGGGGCGCCTCGAGACGCCCCTTCTGCCTTTCTAGGGTCGTGTGGCCAGCGGCGCCCAGGAACCACCAACGTGACGCGGGCCCAAGGCCGCATCGTGGGGGGCAGCGCGGCGCCGCCAGGGGCCTGGCCCTGGCTGGTGAGGCTGCAGCTCGGAGGGCAGCCTCTGTGCGGCGGCGTCCTGGTGGCGGCGTCCTGGGTGCTCAGCGCCGCGCACTGTTTCGTGAGGTACGTCTGGCCCCAGGCCCGGGCCCTGCCGGATCTCCAGCGCAGGATCCACCTAGTCGTTCGCCCTGCCTCCGCAGATGCCCCGCCCCAACCCCGCCCAGCCGGGCCCCCAGCGAGTTCAGCCCTGCTTGGCCCCGCCCCAGGCCCCGCCCCCAGGCCCCGCCCGGCAAGAGTTGGCGGGCTAGCTGCGCGTGCGAGGGCAGGTCTCTGCTGCCACCTGGCTGCCGCAGCCCGGGGCTCCTCAGCCGCAAGGCGCCCTCGCAGGCCGGGTGGCGCATTCGACATACTCTGGGGCCTGTCATCTCCCCGGCCTGACTGGCCCCCCAGGCGGAAAAACAGCTAGGGGTGCCAGCTCGCTGGGTGGTGCCCGTGGGAAGAGTGCCAGGGTCTCCAGGTCCTCTTCCCCACCTCCCGGTCTCGCTGCGCCCCTGTCATGCCTTACCCGCTGCTCGCCCCACAGCGCCCAGAACGAGCTTCTGTGGACGGTGACGCTGGCCGAGGGGTCCCGGGGCGAGCAGGCCGAGGAGGTGCAGGTGAACCGTATCTTGCCCCACCCCAAGGTGAGATAGTAGCCCCTAAGCCCCCAGATCTGAGACCCCTCCCCACCAAGCCTCGTTGACCTGCCCTGCCACCCCCCTCCCCAGTTTGACCCGCAGACCTTCCACTACGACCTGGCCCTGGTGCAGCTGTGGACGCCCGCGAGTCCGGCGGGGCCCGCGCGCCCCGTGTGCCTTCCCCAGGCGCCCCGGGAGCCCCCCGCCGGCACCGCCTGCGCCATTGCGGGCTGGGGGGCCCTCCGCGAAGGTAGGGGGCGGGGCAAGGCCTGGGTGAGGCTCCAGTGCTGGAAAGAATGGGGAGCTTAGTGATGGAGTATGGGGAGGCCGATGTGTAGGGAACCCGGCCTACGCCGGAATGAAGGAGGGCAGTGGTGGACACCCTCAAAACGGGGCTCTTGCCCTCCAGACCTGAGCCCCTCGACCCCTTCCCTGTAGATGGGCCTGAGGCTGGGGCGGTGAGGGAGGCCCGCGTGCCCCTGCTCAGCACAGAGACCTGCCGAAATGCCCTGGGGCCCGGGCTGCGCCCCAGCACCATGCTCTGTGCCGGCTACCTGGTGGGGGGCATCGACTCGTGCCAGGTATGCGGGCGCAGGGTGGGCTGCTCCCCAGGGGCGAGATAGCCTTCTTTCCTTCTTCAGTCAGGCTGTCACTCAACTCCTGCCAGCCTCTATGTCCTCATCACCGAAATAAAAGTGGAAACCATAGTAGAGCTCAGAGCTGTCTTACCTTGCCAGGTGTAAAGAGAGGGGGCCTGTCAAATGCAGTGCCCTCTTCCCTGGCTCTGGTCCCTGCAGGGTGACTCTGGAGGCCCCCTGACCTGTTCTGAGCCCGGCCCTCGCCCCAGGGAGGTGCTGTACGGAGTCACCTCCTGGGGGGACGGCTGCGGGGAGCCGGGGAAACCCGGGGTCTACACCCGCGTGGCCGTGTTCAGAGACTGGCTCCTGGAGCAGATGAACGGTGAGCGCCCCCTTCCCATTCCCCCTCCCGGGACAAGCCCTTCCCACCCCGCCCGCCCCAGCCACCTTCTGCGACGAGAAAGCCGGTCTCTCTCCGGGGGAGGGTGTGCAGGGCTAGGGCCCGGGAAGCAGAGGATGAGCGGGCCCCTGTCCCCGGCTGCAGCGGCCCCCTCCAGCCGCGAGCCCAGCTGCAGGGAGCTTCTGGACGGAGACCCGCCAGACGAGCCGCTGGCTGTCGCGGCCTCTGCCTGCGCCTTCTACGCGCGCTCGTGCGCTGGGTCCGGCGGCGCCTGTGCACACCAGGCGCACCAACAGTGCCTGCAGCGCCGGCGGCGATGCGGTCAGTCCCTGTCTTGGACGCGGGTCGGAGAGCAGGGCGCCCGGCCCCGCCCTGCCTGACCCCACCCGGACCCTTGTCCCGTCCGCAGAGCTGCGTTCCCTGGCGCACACTCTGCTGGGCCTGCTTCGGGACGCCCAGGAGCTGCTCGGCCCGCGCCCGGGGCTGCGACGCCTGGCCCCGGCCCGCCCTGCGCCGTCGCTGTGGGAGCCACTAGGGCACCCTGCCCGCGAGCGGCGACGGCAGCGAGGTACCTGGTGCCTTCGCCGCCCGGCCTAGCCCCACCCCTGCGCAGCGTAGCTACTTTCTAACCCTGGGTTTCCCCAGGATCGCTGGCTGCCGGCGCTCGCTCCCCTAGACGGAGACCAGAGCCGCGCCGGGAAGGGAACGGTAATGACGCCCCCTGCCGGCCGTCGGGAGGGGAGTAGGCAAAGGAGGCTGGCAGAGGCTCGGAAGGCTTCTGCCCGGGTCTGCACGGGGAAGCGGACACATTCTCCCCATCCCCCGAGTAAGGCAGATGACTGGGTGGAGTGTGGCTTTGGGCCCTCATCATTGTCAAAAGGACATAGTCTGCCTTCAGCTCTCGGAGCCTCTCTTTCCCCACCTGCAGCACTAGTATAATATCATAGCAAGCCTGTCCTCGGGGAGGCCCTCCTGAGATGCAGTTCCCGAACCCCGGCCCCCGCAAGCTCTATGCCTCCTCAGTTCTGTTATTCCTGACCCCTCCCCTCCTGCCAGGCTGCCCTGGGCTGGAGCCCCTGCGACAGAAGCTGGTGGCCCTTCAAGGCACCCATGCCTGGATCCTGCGGGTGCCCTCTGAGCGCCTGGCCATGGACTTCCACGAGGTAGGGCAGAGGCTTCCCAGACTCCTTCCCAGTGGTCCAGAGCTGGCTGACCTGGCTGGGGCCCTGAGGGGTACAGGAAGAAAGGGGGTGCCCACCCGATAGCAGGAAGAAGGCTTTCCCCCAAAGCCTGGGTGTGCCTCTGCCCAGCTCTGGGAAGTCCAAGAGGAAGGAGGTGGGGAGGGTCGCTGTGTGTGAGCTGGGATGCTGGGTGGGTGTGAAGGTGTTCGGGGGCTGAGGTGTGAGTGGAGGCCTTGTGGGGTGTCCACGTGAGTAGGAAGTGTGCAGGGTCATTTGGGGTGAAAGAGGGGCATGAGGTGCATCTGGGTGAGGGATTCAGGGGCCAGGAGGAAGGGGGTGACTGGGATTCCCACTCAGAAGAGGGGTTCTCGGCCTCCCTCTGTAGGTCCTGGCCGATCTGGGTTCCAAGACGCTGAGTGGGCTCTTCCGTGCCTGGGTGCGGGCAGGCCTGGGGGGCCGGCACCTGGTCTTCGGTGGCCTGGTAGGCCTGGAGCCGGCCACGCTAGCGCGGAGCCTCCCCTGGCTGCTGGCCCAGGCCCTGCAGGCCTTCCGCTTGGCAGCTCAGGCAGAGGGAGAGCTGGAGGGACCCTGAAGGGGTGGGAGGCAGGGCCGCGGGCTTGAGGCGGGAAAGGGCAGCACCCACTCAGCCCTCAGCTTCCCTGGGCCACCTGGCCGTTAGCTCCCAGGAGGTCTAAAGACCTTGACTCACTGCTACGGTTGGCCTGGGGGAGGGGCATCGGGATTGTGTCTCAGTTTACCCTGGGTGGGGGGTACTGTGGGGTCCTGGGCCGTGTGTGTTTTTCCATGTGTGTGATCAGAGAATCACAGCTGCTTTAATAAACATTATTTATGATCCATGGATACGACTCTGGAGTTTTCTTGGAATGGGAACCAGGTGGTGTGGACATTAGGTTTCTGAGGCAGGGCCCAGGCTGGGCACAGCCCCTGAAAGCAGTTGGCAGGAGTCACAAGGAGGCTGGAGAGGGCCCTCATCTGATCACAGCTGTGTGCAGAGGCCAAGAAATGGCAGCAACTGGCCTGCCTGTCACACCCTCCCTCCCCCACCATCCATGGCTCACCACGCTGCATCCAGTGTCTGGCGGCGTCTCCGCCCAGCCCCCACCGCAAGCTGTGGGGAGTCCCAGCCCTGTATCTTTGCCTCATGTCCTTGGGCTCCTTACCAGCTGGCCAGTTCCTGTCCCCACCCCCATGTCACCTGCCCCTGCTTCTCTTCCCTGCAGCTTAGCCTAGAGGTATCAGATTGCATTTCCGGCTGCCTCTTCCCTTTGCCCTCCCCGCAAACCCCGCACCTGTCCCCTCTTTCTCCCACCCACATTCCCCAGCCTCCACGGATAAGGACAGGAGGGACAGACGCAAGCCCCAGTCATAGGGACAGGATGGAGGGGCCTGTGCTGACGCTGGGGCTGCTGGCTGCCCTGGTGGTGTGTGGTAAGAGTGGGCATCACCCGCCCTGGGGCTCCCTCAAGACTCCAACCACACCACCCCCTGCATGGCACCCTCCTGCCCTGCCTGCACCATGCCTGGCTCCACTCTACCATCTCCTGTGATGGGCCGGCCTCAGGGGCACTGCTGCCAGGGAGGGCTCGCAGGACCTCAGGGAAGCTCCATTCCTGGGCTCCCACCCTGTGCCCCATCCCGGTCTCCGTCCTCCCAGGCAGTTGGGGCCTGAATGAGGAGGAACGGCTGATCAGCTACTTGTTCAAAGAGAAGGGTTACAACAAGCAGCTCCGGCCCGCTGCACACAAGGAAGACAGCGTGGAAATCTCCCTGGCCCTCACCCTCTCCAACCTTATCTCCCTGGTGAGAGCACCTCCCAAGGCTGGGCTGTGGGGAGCAGGTGGGGAGGGGCCCGAGGCCTAGTGTCTCCAGGACTGGCACTGTCACGGAGGAGGCTCAAGCCCCCAGAGCTGGCCACAGTGTAGCCCTCTGCCTGGAAAACACGCTCAGCTGCTCTTTATGCCCACAGCGCACAGAAGGCTGGTGCCCTGTCCCCCCTGACTTCAGCTCTGGGGTGTCCCCCCATGCCACTCCATGAAACACTTCAGAGGCCATCTGCCCTCCTTGCTCACTGGTTGGCCCACCCACTCCAGCGAGTGCAAGGGCAGGGGCCTGGTTGCCATGGTTTCCCGGGTGCCAGCGGGAGTAGGTGCCTGGTAAATGTGTGCTGTGAAGGAGCAAGGCAGGCCCCGGGGTGCCAGCCCTCTCATCTGATTTCAGAAAGAAGTCGAGGAGACCCTCACCACCAGCGTGTGGATCGAGCATGTAAGGAGACCCGCCACTCAGAGAGGGGGCGAGGTGCAGGGCCCCAGCTCCCCTGTGCCCACTTCCACTGGGGGCCCCTAGTCTGCCTTGGACACTGTCCTCCAGGAGGAGCTGACTCTGGCCAACCGAGAAACCCAGGCCCGGCTGCCCTTCCCGCTGCCTAGGGTGTCCCTCTATCTAGTGTAGCCACCAGCCAACATGGCGCCTTTCAGCCGGTCAGGACACTTCATCTGTGAGAAAACTGTCACGGCATCTTGATTTTATTAGAAGACGCTCTTCTGCCACCAGCCAGAAGTTCATGTACAGATGCAAATCTCGTGTCCACAATGGAAAATCTTCTGTGTCCACAATGGAAACAAGGCTCCTTTAGCTGTGCAGTATGCATCCTACACAGCTGTGCATGACAGACCTGAGTCCCCACTGTGCCCGCTTCCCCCAAACCTCTTTTGTCACAGCTCCCAGACCTTGTTCAGACTGCCACCAGGGAAGAGGAAGGGGAGAGTGGGGGTGCCTGGACAGCAGCAGAGTCCCTACTAACATGCCTTTGGGGCTTCCAGGGCTGGACAGACAGCCGACTACAGTGGGATGCCAAGGAGTTTGGGAACATCAGCGTCCTGCGCCTACCCTCAGACATGCTGTGGCTCCCAGAGATCGTCCTGGAGAATAAGTTGGGCTGACGCTCTCCCCGCCCTCCCTTCCTATCACTCCACTTCCCTTCCTTAAGAGTTCTTGGCCTCTGCCTGCGCTCGGACTCTGACTGCCCTCCCTCCTCAGCCTCCCCCTGCGTCCCCAGCTCTGATGGTCCTCCCTCCTCAGCCTCCCCCTGCTCCCTCAGCTCTGATGGCCCTCCCCCCTCAGCCTCCCCCGCTCCCTCAGCTCTGACTGCCCTCCCTCCTCAGCACCCCTCCGCTCCCCCAGCTCTGACTGCCCTCCCTCCTCAGCCTCCCCCTTCTCCCCCAGCTCTGACTGCCCTCCCTCAGCCTCCCCCTGCTCCCCCAGCTCTGACTGCCCTCCCTCAGCCTCCCCCTGCTCCCCCAGCTCTGACTGCCCTCTCTCCTCAGCCTCCCCCTTCACCCTCAGCTCTGATGGCCCTCCCCCCTCAGCCTCCCCCTGCTCCCCCAGCTGTGACTGCCCTC